GAAGGGAGATATGCAGGCAATTAACTCCTCAGCATCGGCTGAAAACTGGGAAATTGACTCAAAGGCATCAGTACAAGAGGCATGAACTCTATTCAGGCAGTTATACAATCGGGTAACTCAACCATACATACCCTGAACTGTCCCAAAGAACAAGAAGTACGGACATCCCTGGATAGGGCGGGATATTCGACGTTTACTAAGACAAAAGAAGAAATGCTGGGACGTTGCCATCCGCCTTGGCACAGCACGTACGATGGAACGCCACAGATCGATGAGAAACGAGTGTATAACGAAAATTCGGGAAGCTCAAAGAAAATATGAAATGCAGCTGGCATAATCTGCACTCAAGCAGCCCAAGAGAATATTCTCGTACATAAACTACAGAACAAGGATGCATCACTGGATTCCTAACCTAATTACAGTAGGAAGTGAATCTAAAATGGTAGAGGAAGATCAAGAAAAAGCAGAGGCTATGGCTGACTATTTTGGGGCAGTTTTCACTCAGGAACCTCCTCTAGAGAAAGAACCAGACCCAAATATAAAGTCAACAAACTAGCTGCTCACCGTGGACTTCGACCAAAACCATGTGCTTAAGGCTCTTGGCACCCCAAACATGGAAAAGTCAACAGGACCAGATGAACTACACCCCAAAATCTTGAGACATATTGCTCATTATATCGCGGCCCCACTGACTGTGATATTCAATATGTCACTTGACCAAGGTGTGTTACCTATGGACTAGAAGGACGCAATCGTCACTCCCATACATAAAACAGGTCCACGACAAGTTCCATCGAATTACAGACCCGTAAGTCTCACCGGTGTTGTAATTAAAATACTGGAAAGAACAATCAAACGGACCATAACGGCATTTATGGAAACCAATAACTTGCTGAATATGGCACAACATAGTTTTAGAAAGGGTCTATCCCGTACAACGAACCTCCTTATAGCAAGGGAGTTCTGGATTAATGCGCTAAACAACGGAAACTCAGTGGATGTTGTTTACATAGATTTCAGTAAGGCTTTTGACAAGGTGCCAACTAATAGACTGCTATTGAAGTTGGAAAACTTTGGTATTGCCGGACCTCTTTTAGAATGAATTAAAGATTTCCTAGTAGGTCGTAGACAAAAAGTAAGAATAAATTCCAAGTGCTCCATCTGGAGACCAGTACTTAGTGGAGTACCCCAAGGTTCCGTCCTAGGTCCTTTACTTTTTATAATGTACGTTAATGATCTTACAAGTATAGTACAGTCTCCAATGTTATTATACGCTGATGATGTAAAAATTTGGCGGGTAATAACTGGAGACAAAGACGCATTTACTCTTCAGGCAGACTTAAATAATACGATAAATTGGTCTAAAGAGTGGCTGATGCCTATCAACGCGGAAAAGTGTGTCTGCATGCAATTTGGGGATTCAAAGGTTAATAGGTACAACATAGGGGATTTGTCATTACCCGTAGTCCGGTCTCATAACGATCTAGGCGTGATAGTGAGTAATGATCTAAAGACGACGTCCCATTGCCGGGAGGTCGCAGCTAAGGGGTTTCGAACCCTCTGGGCTTTGAAAAGGACATTCACTAAGTTAGATACTACCATGTTCACCACAGGAGACACATCCTTAGTGAGAACTAAGCTAGAGAACTGCGCTCAGGCTGCAAGCCCCTGTTTAAAAGGTGACTCGGACATACTAGACAAAGTACAGAGGGCAGCTACGCGTGCTATTGCGGAACTCCGGGGTTTATCATATAAAGAGCGGCTTGAAAAACTGAACCTCTTTACTCTGTCCCATCGCAGACTAAGGGGAGATCTAATTTTGATGTACAGAATACTGAGAAATGATTTCGGACCCAACTTATTCTCTCTCTTTCTTTCCACTAGATCGGGACACCTTAAAGGACATAGCAGGCGAGTAGAAAAGCCAAGAACGAACAAAATACCCGTGGCATACAGGTTTTTACACTGCGTCATCAATGCTTGGAACCTGTTGCGTAAAGCAGTGGTGTCCGCACCTTCGATTGACACTTTCAAGAGAAGACTGGACACTCACAGAAGCATACCAGAAAAGGAATAACATAGTCGGTAGGCCTTCTGTCCTTATTACACAAATCTAAAATCCGAAATCTGAGTGGTTGTCCGTCGACTGAGAGTCGATGGTGGTCGTGAGGGGAATATTGAGTGGTGAGGATGCACATAGTTTGTGTGTGTGTGCGTGTGTGTGTGTATGAATTCAATGAGAGTGTGTCAGACGGAGTGGGAGACTCAACTAGTGTGGGTGTCTCAGACGGTGGAGTGGAGAGTCGGACAAAAGCCCGCTACGTCAGGAGCAGGGTTCGAACCTGCGCGGGGAAACCCCATTGGATTTCAAGTCCAACGCCTTAACCACTCGGCCATCCTGACACGATTCGCGCATTCGCACACAATCAACTCACACGTTCATCACCACAACATCAACAAAACACTCTCTCATCACACATCCACTCGCACACACGCAAAACATCGGCACTAACACACATACTCATTTATACACTCGTAGTCTATTCTATTCCGTCACGTCCGTGATAACAACAACGTTGTTCCTTCGCGGCCGGATGTTGCGTTATATTCGAACGTTATCGTGAAAATTTATAATAACTTTTTGAACATCTTTCATGATAACAACATTATTGGCTTTAAAAGAGGAAGAGTTTTTTCTTGGTCTTCTTATATTCTTCTAACCATTAAATGCCATTCTTTTCGTTTTTCTTGCACGGGATGTTGATATTTCTGTAAGGGTTTATATGATTTTCTTATTATTTTTTTATCCACACTATTTGGATCGTGGATATGAACACTGATTTATCATAAATTCACGATATTTCACTTTAGAATGCCGACATCGTTGGTTGTGGAGTTGATTGATCGTTTTTATATACCTCAGGCTGTAGGCATAATCATTTTATATAACTAATAAATTTCCGCTTGATATATATATATATATATATATATATATTTCCGCAAGCCTAATGTGTTCTTCAGATGGGCTAGACGTCATGTTGCTTATTATCATGATAGGTTGAGTCAGTATAGACTATGACGTTACCTTAACATAAGATCTTGTATATTAGGTAGTTACATCAATGTAAATCAAAAATTTTGGGATTAGGTCCGACATTATAGTATCAAAGACGAATGTACTAATACGGAACTAGACTTTAATTCAACAAAATAATTGCTGACTAGCGAACAGAGTCGACCGTGACCAACTTTCTGATGATAAGAATGATGTGATATTTTAGTATGCTTTACTACCATAAATGTTGATAGTGCTAATGCTAAATTGTTTAATATACTACAGCTTTACTCAGATCTGATTGTGTTAATACTTACACCTTTTTTCCTACATCTCCAATTTAAAACCAGCCGCTGTTGGAAGAAGAGGAACCGTAACCCGTTTAGTCCACAATTTTTGAGTTGCATAGTATATTTTAATTACTCATATAGGACAATCTGTGTCAACATGCCTGTAAGAAATGTGACCTTTTATTTAGTAGGCGATTTGAGGAGGTTGGTGCACTACAATGCATCCTATTAAAATTTCTAGGTAGTTAAGCGTACAATTTGTCTCTTAACTTCGATTCTTGCTTCAGAAACCTATTTCAAACCAATTGATGCTAATCGCTGACGTCACATGTATTTTGTCGAAATGAAAAATCATCATAAGTTATTATTGGTAAACATTATGGGACCTTAGCTTCATTCTGACCTTTTTCATGATTCCTTGGACCACTTCTTAAGATCCATCACGGATGCTACAGCAAACGTCTACCACATAAGTGTGATTCATTTTGATGATCGATCCTACACCTGGAACTACTAGAGAATTTCGTGTGCCCGGACGACTTCACAGTGATATTTAAAGCTTAGACGAACTATTACAAAAATGATAAAAAAACCTCCATAGAGTAGGTACCAAGTGAACAGTTTGAATTTCAAAAATTTCATATAAGGGGTGATCTAAACTGAGGATGTCGTGAATATGTAATGTTTGTCAACGATATTTTCCGAAACGTCTGGATACAAAAGGATTCAGAATACATCTAAATCAGAAGTCAGGAATGAAGGGTTGCTAAGGTATGAGAGTCTATGCAATCTTAACTGATCAGCTGTGATAAGAGATGTGCTACTCAAACCTGATTTGGTGCAGATGACTTACCAAGCATCTTCATCTTGGGGTGTGTCCAGCGAAACTAATGGGGTTAGCATCAGAGTCGAGGACCTACGACACCACTTATTCAATGAGGTTTATTTACCACTACAAAACTATAAGACATATGTTTACCCTGTCACTGTAGTTCAATGAGGTGACCTAATATTTGCTTTCTGTATTATGAATAACTGTTTGACTACTAACATGTCGTATTTGTTCTTCACCCCCGGAATTTTTCACATCAACTACCATTAAGTGTTCAAAAATCGAAAATAAGTATGCTGAAGGTGGGAATCATCATTTTTCATTCAGCTGGCAGCGGCTCTGATGTGCTATCCATTCGATTGACATCAACTACAATGGCGAGTGCGTTTAGAAAGAAACTGGATCTCGACAGGACGACAAATATTAAGCGTAAAACACTTTACGTAATCCACTATCCTCATTACTAATAAGTGAGGACATTCGACTGCACAACCAAGACTAGTCATTAAGGTCGGTCGATGTACCAACTTTATCTATGAAAACTGATATTAAACAAAAATAAATATTATCTACATACATAGGCTTTAACGCCCGTGAGCCTGTCAATTATTAGGTATCAAATTCTCATTGCGATCACTAAAAATCTTAGACATCGTGTAACTGCTTTTGTTTATATTCTTCAAGGATGGTAGATTCGGTCGACTATGAGCATTGGCTCACTAATTAAGAGGGCTTTAATTAACGGATTTCAACTGAAAGCGAGAATACAATGCATATGAAATATCTAATATCAATTTAGTTTTCGTAGACTGGATTCTTGACTATGATTGTTCTCAATAATTTCCCTATCAAAACTGATTCACTTGGAGATAAAAAAGTTGAGACAATTATGATCCCTTCCAATAAAAGAGAAGCACCTGTTGTCAGCCCTCCTAAACCAGATGACAACGGTCATAAAATCCCACTAGGTAAAAACATAGCCTTCTTACAAAAGCAGCATGAGTCCATGCTGAAAGGCTTGCATCAAGAAATTGAATCCTTGAAAAAAATTAATAAAGGTTGTGGTTATTTCGTATACTTTTATTTTTTCAGACTTGCAGTATCGTCTGGTGATGTGTACATGTTCTGCTGGCTATTCTGATGATAATTTACCAAAAAGTTAGGATAATCTTAATTATATGTAATAACTAGATAAAACCAACGAGAACTCCCTAAAACAAGAAATATCGATTTTGCGGGAAGATCTTGAAAATGAAAGGAAGAAGAACGCACGTTTGATGCAACAATTAGAGGAATTGCAAGTATCCCAGAATCCTGTTAGAGGGTGAGAATGTTCATCAAACTTTTGTCTCTTACTAAACGCCTTAAAATCACAGTAGTACTAATCCTTTACATTATGTACTCAGACTTCCGCTCACCTGTTTTTGATATTTCAAGACTCCTTATAAAACATCACAGACTTAATTGATAATTGTTTGGAATATCCTATGGTTGAAAGTTTTGACTGAGATCTGATCAGTTTTAGTTGATATACTTGCATTCATTGCTAATTGCCTCGGTGCAGCCATCATGACACAAGTTTATGTGGGATAGACGGTATCATTGATTAGTTTGTATTGTTTTCTGAGATGTATGAAGTTTATTTACTCAACTCTACGTTTTTATTGGTCTTGGGACAGTAATTTTAATATTTTTTAGAAATTGTTTCAATATGCAAAAGCAGAGTGGTTGTGAAGATAACCTTTCTTTTCTCCAACCTGCAGTGTTACTGATATTCGCTCTACCTAACTACTTCATCTACTTCTTTACTAGTTTGACCCATGTAATCTGTTCTTTAAAAGTGTAATCAGGAGTGGGACAGGCTTTTTTGTTTTTCAACATATCAAAAGACTCTGGATTTAATCATCTTATAGTTCCGTTTATATTGTATACCCTACATACTCCCTACGTTCATTTGATCTATCGAATGACCGGTTCCAGAGGAACTGTTGAGAATGGATTGTTATACTGAGTGGTATTTGTTACTTTTAAGTTGGATGACACTTGATAAAGCTTCAGAAGACTAAAGACAAATAGAAAGTAGGCAAATTAAATATACTTTCCTAATTTAAATATTAACACACTCAGTAGCCGCTGAAATGTTATCATGAAAAGCTGCTTTCACTCTGTGCATTTACTCGGAGTCTGTTGTCTTCTTTAGACTGTAATGCTAACGAAACACTAACCCATTGTCGTGGGTGGAAGTTCAAAACATCATGGAGAGGATTTTGGTTTCGAACATAACCCACTGAATGATTATATTAATAATAAGTTTAAAAAAATGCTTAGCCTTCTAATTTACCAAATAAAACAATAATTTATTGTATACGTTCAGTCATAAGTGTCAATGATGAGAAGTCGGCTAAGCCATTTCCAGGTAGGATTTGAAGTCAACATTGAATATTTATTTATTGTTAACACCTACTGGAGTACAGAAAAATACATCAGGTATCTAGCGCGTCGTTCCTACTAATAAATAGGATTCTAGTCAAATGCAAACAACGCTTCAACACATAATTTCACAAAAATAATCTGGTTTTTCTTTTGATATCTTATCTACTTTCCATAGTACAGATTTCATTGTATCATTAGTTTAAAAATAAACTTGTATTGCATTGATTTAGAACCTTTTACATTTCTTTTAGTGTTTCTTTACGGTAAGTGATAACTACTGTTTTTCCACTTGGTGAATGATGTTATCTAATCTTTTCATCTTTGTCATATCGGTTACTGACGTCTGAGAAGTTGAGTGATATTACTTTCTAAATTCAACGATCAAAAAACTCCATTATAATATCTCTGCCCTGCATCTCCTACTTCACCTATGGCTTAGAGTCCTTAGTATTGACCAGTAGTACGTTGTAACGGACACAACCTTGAGTTGATGTAATTATTTCCTGCTTCGGTTTGGGCACCCAGGCAGTATCACAGCCCTCACACGAATCAAATGAGATTTGTGTGGCACATATGTATAATAATAAATGATGTAGTTATACTTCTGTCAGTCCTGCTACCCCCAATAATTCCTTTGTCCTCAACCTGGAATCTGAAAAGAAGTCTCCAGCTAAGATTCTATCATTATATTTTTAACTACCAAATTCAGCCATCTAAAATATATCGCATGCACTCAACAACTTATGTACACGATAAACTGGGTTATATTACATCGTAAAAATAGGTAACTAGTCATACACAAACGGGGCAGTATTAACGGTGATAAAGATAGTCTTGTGTATAGATGAACTAATAGGAGTATAACTACGTTAACTCAAGGTTAAGTGTCCGTCAGAACGTACCAGTGGTCAAGATTAAGGACCCTATGCTATATATAAAATAGGATACATAGGGTGGTTTTATTTGCATTTAATTAGTTTGAACCTTCTTTATTAACCGAGACATACCTATATGTAGACTATCTCATCTGGATACTTACAAGTGCAGGTACTTTCGATAATCCTATAAAAAATCACTCTAACCGTCTTACTTACTTACGCCTGTTACTCCTCGTGAAGGAGCATAGGCCGCTCACCAGCATTCTCCATCCAACCCTGTCCTGGATAATCCTTTCCAGCTCTTTCCAGTTGTTATTCATCCTTTTCATATCTGCTTCTATTTCCCAACGTAATGTGTTCTTTGACCTTCCTCTTTTCCTCTTCCCTTCAGGATTCCAGGTTAGGGCTTGCCTCGTGATGCAGTTTGACGATTTGCGCAATGTATGTCCTATCCATTTACATCGTCTTTTCCTAATTTCTTCTTCAGCTGGAAGTTGATTTGTTCTCTCCCATTGAAGGCTGTTGCTGATGGTATCCGGCCAATGGATGTTGAGTATCTTGCGTAAATAACCGTTTATAAATACTTGTACCTTCTTGATGATGGTTGTTGTAGTTCTCTAAGTTTCAGCTCCGTACAGTAGAACTGACTATCTTGACGTTCGTATTGAAGATTCTCACTTTGATATTGGTTGAAAGTTGTTTTGAGTTCCATATGTTCTTCAATTGTAGGAATGCGACCCTTGCTTTGCCAATCCTTGCCTTTACGTCTGCATCTGAACCTCCTTGTTCATCGATGATGCTTCCCAGGTATGTAAATGATTCTACATCTTCTAGAGTCTCGCCATCAAGAGTGATTGGATTGCTGTTCTCCGTGTTGTATTTGAGGACCTTAGTTTTCCCCTTGTGTATGTTGAGGCATACTGATGCAGAGACTGCTGCTACATTAGCTGTCTTTATCTGCATTTGTTCATGTGTATGCGATAGGAGGGCTAGGTCATCTGCGAAGTCCAAATTGTCTAATTGGTTTTGAGCTGTCCATTGTATGCCGTGTTTTCCCTCAGATGTCGAGGTCTTCATAATCCAGTCGACCACCAGAAGAAAGAGGAAGGGAGAGAGTAGACAGCCTTGTCTGACTCTGGTCCTTACTTGGAATGCATCTGTCGGCTGTCCTCCATGCACGCCCTTGCACTGTAGTCCGTCTGATTTCTTCCGTCGTTGGTGGATTGACATCTATAGGAAGATCTGTGTGTGCTGCTTCGATGTCCGGTGGATTCATTGGAGCCGGCCTATTCAGCAGTTCCTCGAGGTACTCTACTCATCCGTTCCGCTGTTGTTGAACTTCAGTGATTGGCCTGCCTTCTTTGTCTTTGACCGGCCTCTCTGGTTTACTATATTTCCCTGCTAGTTTCTTCGTTGTATCGTAAAGCTGCTTCATATTTCCTTCTCTTGTAGATTTTTCCGCCGTCGTTGCTAGTTTTTCTACGTATTTCTGCTTGTCGACTTTGATGCTCTTCTTCACTTGCTTGTTTGCTTCTATGTACTCAGCTTGTACTTGGACTTTCTCTGCTCGTGTTCGGCTGTTTTTAACTGCTGCCTTCTTGTTCTTCCTTTCTTTAATCTTGTCCAGTGTTTCTTTAGACCCAGAACCTCTTGATACGTCGAAGTTAATGCTTCCTTGACACTTTTCCAGTTGTCCTCCATAGTAGCTTCTTCTTCCTTCAGTAGATCCTGTAAGACTTGGAACCTATTGTTGAGAGCTATCTTGAATTCGTTGATTTTGTTAGTATCTCAAAGGAAGGCTGTATTGAACCTTTGTATTGCTGTTTGTCCAGTTGTCCAGTTCTTTTTTAGCTTCGGTTTTAAATTGGCTACAACTAGATGGTGATCTGAACCTATGTCAGGACCTCTCCTGGTTCTCACACCTTCGATTGTCCTTCGGAATTTTTTATTGATGTAATTATGATCTATCTGGTTCTCTGTGGTGTGGCCCGGTGAGATCCATGTAGCCTTGTGTATACGTTTGTGTGGAAATATTGTGCCACCTATGACCAATTTATTGAAGGCACATAGATTTGAAAATCTTTCCTCATTTTCGTTTCTCTCTCCCAGTTCATGTCGTCCCATAATATCTTCATATCCGGTGTTGTCTATTCCGACTTTGGCATTTAGATCTCCCGTCAGAATGGTGGGGTCTCTTCTTGGGCACTTCCCTATGATTGATTGCAGCCGCTCGTAAAATTGATCTTTAATATCGTCGTTGCTATCATTGGTGGGTGCATAACATTGGATAATATTCATTGTGATCCCCTCCTTCTTTGTTTTGAATAGTGTTTTGATGATTCTGGATCCGTGAGATTCCCATCCTACAAGTGCATTTCGTGCTACTTTGGACAGCATAAGAGCGACTCCCTGAGTGTGTGGAGCATTTTCCTCTTCGTGACCGGAGTATAGCAGCATCTCTCCCGTAGCCAGCCTTTTCTGTCCAGCTTGGGTCCAGTGGGTTTCGCTGATTCCCAGTACTGCTAAGTTGTATCTCCTCGTTTCCGTTGCTATTTGACTGGTCTTCCCGGTCTCCCACATTGTCCGGAAGTTCCATGTACCTATAAAAATTTTTGCTCTGGTTGTTAAAAGGGGCATCGGCCTCGTGGCTTCCGAAGCAACTCGGCTTTCACCATGAGGCGTCATAGTTCTTCTAAATGAAGACCTTCTAACTCCCAGGGCAGAGTTTAAATGGACTGAATTATTTTTTCTGGTTAGCGTTTTTTTAGTTAGTTTTCTACGGGATGAGGTCGCTAACCTCATGCCCAACCCTCATCCTTTACCCGGGCTTGGGACCAGCAGTAAGTCTAGAAGAGCTACAGGCGGAGTTACTCTAACCATCACGCTATTGAAATGTTCCTAGAAACTGATCTCTATTTATTAATGTTGTCCGTCATGCCACAATTTTCGAAATCGTGATGATTACTTAATGGAGAGAGGGAAAAAGTACAACAAAGTTTAGCACTGTAAGCGCACACACACAGGAGGTAAAAAAAAAACAAGATATGTGGACATCGACTTTGGTATGCAAGTACATTCAGCTAACGAGTCCCAAGCGGGATGAGACGTGCGTTTCGGCTGCGTTTCTGAATACATGCCATCTATTCCATATAAACTTGTGTCACAATGGCTATATCGAGGTAAGATGCACATATGTCAACTAAGACATCGAAAATTTAGCATACTTAAGTTTGTCTGTATTTGCTTACTCTCAGCTTTCATTTTAATCAAGTTCAGTTCATTGTAGCCCTACTCATTTTTAATCTAGCTTTGATTTATGAGTGTAAATAGATAATCCTTAGAATGTTTTTCAGCTTTCATCAGGTTGTAGTAAGGGTTTTTAAAAAGTACAACCTATTATTTGACGAATGTTCTCTTCTAGTCTGATTTGTCTTATGATTTTTGAATTGGTCATTTTAAAGTACGAAAGTAGGTTTCATCCTATAGGGCCACCTACACAAGCACATTATTGTAGTAATTTTCGAGATTTCCAACTGAAATTATATGAAGTGAAGTAGCCTATTTTTACTTTGGGAAACTTAATCTCCTTATTTAAATTTTAACTTCAATTGACTCCTTATGAAATCCTATTACAATTTATAGGGAAAATATACATTTAGTGATTTCACTAATCAACTGCTAATGTGTCTTAAATGAGTAGTTATTAATTCAAATGTCTAGTCACATTTGTTTTTTCACTTGTACACATTTTACTTAAAATTGTTCTTTCATTAGTTATAGTCCGTTAAACTGGTAGATTTTTACCTTTTTATGTTTTAAATAAGACTTCCAAGATTCGCATGTAAAAATGGACGATTGTCAACATATTCAGAGCAGAAAAATATTTCAAAGAATAATGAAATGTTCCAGAGTTTAAATAAAAATCAAATTCACCATGATAATAGTGAATTCTTAAAAGGATGTCAGGATGTCCCAAGTAAAAATACCGATGTAAGTCTCTGTTATTATTATTCTATTACACTGTTAATAGTGTTTTATAAAGCACTAAATTATTGCTAAGAAATTTAACTTTCGTGAGTTTAGGTCACTCAGTGTATTGAATTGTTAAGTTCAGTTACATGTCCTTAATTGTCCGACGAAAATACATCCAGTAATTTTAATAATAGATGTTTAATGGTCGAGAACTGTAAAGTTACTTACTGTACAACTTGAACTTTGGACTGATGGTATCGTGACCAAATAGAGGAATACGCATTAAGTTTTTGATTACTTGATTTTTATAGTGATGTTTTTAAATGTAATAAATAACTCATGTTTCATTAAAACTGTTTAGAAACATGTGTGTTTCATTGCAAGCATGAAATTATTCACCATCTAATGAATACATAGTACTGACTTTAATTTATTTCAGCTGTCATTTCTAATAAACTTGAAAGTAAATAAAACCTAGTTTATGAAGTCCATTTAAAATCTGTGATAAAGATATGTACATAAGGCTTTAAAACCCTCTTGATTTATCACACAAGTCATGTTCACCAGACAAACCTAATGTACTTCGACAGAACTAGTGTATATGACATCCAATGACGGTCTTTTTGCACTTTGCACTTTCATGCCATATTTGTGAGATATTTTCGCTGCCTATTCTTTCAAATGTGTAGCTACCGATTTCAGACTCTCAATATTTTAAACTAGGAATTTCGCCTTAATGAAATGTTTTAATTAATATTACGAATAAAGTCATATAACTCACCCTACTAAATAACATTAATGGATAACAATAATACTAAGAAAGAAATAAGACCATTAGAAGTAGTATTAATATCGATTAGAAATATGTTTTATTGATATGTATAAAGTAAATGTGTTACCCTTCATTTTAAGATTTATTACCTAGCCATACATTAATTAGTCATATTTATAACACAAAGTATTTTGAAGATGGTTTACATACAATAATGACTTCATCTGAATAATTATTGAAAACTAGGTAACCCCAAACAACTGTGTCATTCTAGACTGGAGTTCGCAACAACAGTACCCTACGTTACCATCAGGAATCGAACCTAGGACCTTCGAATCTTATGATGAAAGCATTACCTTCAGATCACTGAGTTAGAAAATAATGGTTCTCGTTTCTAACTTCATTTGATGCAAGATATAGCTCAATCATCAAAAATTGATGACACATGTCCCACTCCAGACTTGTCTGAACTCTACGAAATTTTGTCATTCAATTATAGTTTTGAAAATGTTATTCCTGAAGTGAACTGACTAGGTAAGTAACTTAAAAATTAGTCACAGGATAATAATACCAAGTGTCTAAGTCAGCGAGCTTATCAACTCGCATCTACCAGTATCTCTGTATTAGTTAATCCCCCTTCTAAGTTGCTATCCACAAAGTATACTGCAATAGAGTAAGGTTAACATGTACCTAGTTAGCTTTCATCACATAGATTGGTAGATGTAGACCACCAGGCTTAAATCAACAATAGTTGGAGATGTTGAGCAGCACAGCTCGGAATCGATCATAGTAACGTAGATGCCTTCACTCATTCTTTTCCTCTTGATTTTAAGTTTTAGAATCCTCATACTTTTTACCCCACAATATCATACTTTTAGGAATCATATTGTCTGTAATTAATCCCCTTTACTACCACTAATATTTTTAATACTTCTACTACTATATTATTTGTCTTGATACTTCATCTTTATATTTTGAAATGATGTGACAACTTGAATTGATGCATATATGTGCCTAATTCTACGTTGCTTACAAAACTGACTAACTGGCTGAAATAAAAATAAGTCAATCCTTCCATCATACTGGGTGCTTTTTTAAAATTCCATCTTATTACTAGTATTATTAAATCCAAACTGGGATAATATTCATTAAACACCATGAATTCTAATCTTTCTATCTATGAAAAATTCTCAGTTCATAACAGATACAGTCACTGTAAATAATAACCCGATAGCACCTACAACTGGAACATTATCAGTCAATAAACTCATACCAACCACTTCTCATTCAGTTCCGATTAAATCATCAACAACTCTGAATATACCAGGAAATAATTTCTTGACAAAACGAAGTATTCTTCATTCGTATGATAATGAACATGTTTTTGAAAAACAAGAAGAGGAAATAATCGAATCAAACGATGAATTAATCAATTCACACTTATTACCATTTCGATTACCTGCATTAAATTTTAGAAAACCACTTATTCAAGCTTCATTGAGTAATGAGCAACATAAAATGAATACAAACAATATAAAGTATTCACCTACACGTGGTTCATTAAAGAATGAAAAAGTGTAAGTCGTTTATTACTGTTTTGCTTCAATATGTATGTATAGTTCCGTTGTATAATACTTCAAGTCTTCGCTTCATAATAGTTTAATTGTTGTATGACGTAAACAGTTTACAAACGGGTAGTAGTGGTACTTGTATTAAGTAAGCAGATCAGTCTATGAATTTATTAACTGATGGTCTGTCTATGTAAAACGATTATGGTCTCCCGTACTTCAACACTCAAAATGTTATGAGACAATAACTGAAGACTGTTTGGTGCGCTTTGAAATTAATTATGATAGAATTTTTCACGTTTATTTTTTTCAGATGGGTTTTGTGGATATTATAGTGATTTCAATGGTTAAGATCATGAGTCAGTTGAAGCTAGATCACCATGGGAAACCTTGGAGCACTGGACGACCGTCTCTTCCTATTGTGGGACTCCTCAGCAGTGCGCACCCACGACCTCGCCCTCTGCGAGATTCGAACCCAGAACCTACTGGTTTCGCGCGCGAGCACTAGACCACTGAGCCGGCATCCAACGGTGTTAATGTCTAACCTCAACTAATCCACGAAATTAAGCGATATATCCACCATTGTCTTCAGTGAGTTACTATCTCACAACAGACCTAGTTGAACTCCACTGCTCACTACTCACTAGAACTCCAATATACACCTTGAACCCAGTCACTAGTGAGCATATGTTTACATATTTTTCTCCTACTCAACAACATTCTTTTTGCTATTCAGTTTAGCACTTCCTTTGTGAAGGATTTTTCAAGGTTAGTTTAATCTGTAAGTATTGTTCTTCACAGATTAATCTCATTCGGTTTTAATGGTCAAACGTTCTCTGCGAGACCTAAAGATCCTATGTTTGACCCCCAATGGAGTAGTGGTTGTGCGCTGCTGATGAGTCCCATACTAGGATGAAGCAGCTTCCCAGTGCTCCCTAGTTCACTAGGGTCTAAGTGATGACGAATGGAACCTAAAAATTAATACTTGTATTCTCTAATGTTCTTGTTTTGAAAAAGGGAGAAATTCAAACCGACCTACTTGATAAATATAAATCCTAAATTTCATTCATTTATAGAGATGAGTGTATATCACTACAAGTATATCAGAATTTTTCACTGGTTATTCATTCAATAGCACTAGTGTAACCAAATTCTAAATTCACTCCCTTAAACTCTTTCTGTGTATTCATAGGATATCTTTCATAGTAATCAAACAAATTGTGAAAAACTTGAGTAAAATTAGAACTTGAATTCGATAACGAAATTATTGTTACTTAAGAGTAAGTAACTACACCTTAGCTTGAGATCTGTTGCTGGAAAAACTATAAAACTTCAATTAACTGCTTCTAGTTTCAAGCTATGAACTAATACTTTCTTGATACTTCTTAATTGATTAGACCTAGAAAATAATACTAAAGTATTGAACCGATGTTGTTCGAACTATTTTAATAGATAAAAATGGTTTAACAATAGTTAAAGCACTCAACTTTTAACCTATAGATTGTTAGTTCGAACCCTACTCCTATTCTGATTTCAAGAGACAAAAGAATTAACACCTTGTGAAGTGATATTAAGTAATATTAAGAAGTGGTTAAACAATTCGATCATGAATAAATTGTTCTCGAGTGATTAGAAATATATGGGCGGTTCAGTACCTGATTCCCCACACCGCGGAAGGATACCCTTTTAGTTACCTTAAAAGGAAATTGGGTCAACAGTGGTTTTGGTTGCTACAGAACCCGAGAAGCACCTGTTTGAAATCAGTTATACACGATCAGGTCCTACGTTGCGTATAAATGACTGTCGCTGGTTTGCGTGATCGAGTTGTTTTATATATTTTTATGTACATAAATCGTAGCTGAAAACCCTTTACATGAACTTGGTCTTGGCAAATAAGCTAAGTTAATTACATCTGTTTCGATAATCTATCTTTTCATTCATCTTTCTCTTTTCCGCTCTCTAGACATTTACATCTCTGCCGATAGCTCTAATGTAATTTGTCTATAGTTGTTTTATATGTGAAATATGTTAGTTTTCGGTTATATTTTCTGATTAACAAATATTTCAGCGCGTATTTAAAAGATATGATAGCCAATTAATTGCCAGATACACAACTGCTTGTGTTTCACTATCTTAATATACAGTTGTCACTTTTCAATCGTAATTGCTGCAATTATTGTATTACATGCAGAGAGCGTAAAGCGTTGTACTTTTAAAATGTATGTTATTTTTTAACCAACCTATAACTACACGACCATAGGCCAAAGTCGTCTGAAAAATAATTAAAAACGAAATCTGAGACCTTTTCACGTCCTACTTAGTTGTGCAGTGTTTGCAAGTCAGAGAGCGGTCAAACCAAGATATGACATCGTTCCATGGAGTCATTGACCGTTGGATGCTAAACTACCTGGTTGGGGTCTGTACGGTTATCAGGATTAACGATTGAAGACTTCTAACACGGCTCAGGATTGACCACAATAGCGCAGTTGCATTCACCATTTGTTTTCCCTGAAATCTGTAGTCTTAAAATCTTAAACTTTTTATTCTATAAATTAATTCTTTCTTCTCGAATTATCTTGTCTATGTCAATTTTTTCTACTACTACTACTGATGTTGTTACTACTTTTACTACTCCGACACATGTCTTGATAATTTCATGTTTTTGCGTTGAAACGGTGTGACAATTTGAAGTAATGTGTTTAGGACTGACTATTTCGTTCTAGTTTGAAATTTATCAGTGAAGAGTACAACCCAATATCGGGTTTAACTCATTATCTCCAAGTTTCGCATTGAACACTGTTATTCAGTCGTTACATTTTATTGATATTTCTTCACGATTAATTAGCTTTGTTGATCGTTGACATGTGAATAAAAATGTTCAATAAATCCATTTACTTAAGTCAGCTGACTGAGATTAAATAATTTAGCTCATTCTTCAATTCAAAGTTGAATTTATCTGGTCACGTCGTTAACGAGCTTAAATGCAAATAAATGATAGAGCCGTCTGTTGTTTTACTTTCATCGAAGTCATAGTTTCCAATTAGCTTCACATATTTCAAATTAAGAAACTGTCATCATGATATATATATCAGTTATGGTGAACACTTGAATATACAGACTTGTATTTAGTTAACATATTTCACTGTAGTTAATATTCATAGAGATAGTACTTTTAGGCACTTCAGCGTCACCATGAATTATGGTCTCGCCCATATTTCTTTCTGATGTTTCATAGCTTTATCGCTGGTGCACACGTATATAACTTTTTTATGTGAAATAAATAGCTACAATATATATTTCGATAATGCAATGAGAAGACGTAGTTTATCAGAATTATGTGATATATTTGCGCAGTACGTTTCGAACAATCTGATCACACATATACTTGTTAAGAACATTTATATACGAAAATTAAAAGGTCAACTATATATATGTAATATACCGAGTGTAAATAAAGCGCTTCATAGTTATACTCTATCTAATTAACTACATGACTCTTTCGAATAAATTAATTTCTTTGTCGGAAAAGATATATCATCATCAATAGTGTTCATTTGTCATATTGTTTAAACTGTTTCAGAGATTTGACCAAATCTATCCATTAAATTTTAAGTTCTTGGAAGTAATCAGTATGGCATACCTCTAATTTTTAGAGAATTAATACTCTTTCCGGAATTCAAACCCACGTCATCCAGCTTTACAAACCGATATGTTACCATTGAGGTATTTAGGTAGGGACTAAACTTCTTTATGGCTGAGATATTTAAATTGATTAGTCATTAAGGTTTAGCCAAACATAGGATTGATTAGTCACTGAGTATTGACTAATCACTATTGCCTACTAACTCTTTATAACACTCATACAATCCAGGCTGACTCCCCATTACTTTACATTTTTAATACCACTTTTTGTTTTTAGAAACTTGAAAGTTTTTGTGATCAATGTGTAAAGGATGACTGGAATGACTAAAAACATGTAATTATGATATCTTAACTGACAGAAATTTTTCTATTTTCCCTATGCGAAACCCCGGAACAGTTAATATTGAAACTATTCATCATTCTATCTCACCATACTTAGGAGACTATTTAAAGATTAGATTTATAAATTACTCATGAAATCTCATCATGCATTTACCTTCAATAATAATGGTTACTGTACATGTTACAATTCACTCATTAAACATGTCCGCTCGATTTCGTTTGTGTAGTCCCACGTTGTTTAGATTATCATAAAAAATGTGTTGGTGAATATTCCGTTCTAAAATAATTATAGCAGAACAATATTTCTGCATGAATTTTCGGCATAAATCCCAACGATCAATATATCTTAAGTATTATTTTGAAAAATAAGGTCAAAACATATCAGTCAGTTGATAACTACATTAATACCAGGTAAAGGAAAAACTTTTCATCCATATAAGTTAGAACTGAAGCTATGAAAATGGTGTTTAAAACTTGATATATTTGTTTGTTTCATTCAGAATCTTGACGCTCATTCTTCATCTTTTTCTTATCATTATTCACTGGATTACAATAATAATACCCCTCATCATTCATTTTAGACGAGTTTTCATTTCTAGAACATGAGATATATTTGTTACAAAACACTTAGCTTTTAGTTAGTAAAAAAAAGTATAATAAAACAACTGCAAGGTTATTCTCACTTACAAGTGATATCAGATACTCCAATCCATTAAAAAACTAAGGAATACTAGCCGGTTGTTTTGCTCTTTACCAACATGTCTCATTAGTACGCTGCTATGATCTCTAATGTAGATGTTAAAAATAAAACTTTCAAGCCTTGTGACAATAGCTTAAATTTCAAACCACTGAGTTAGAAAATTAATATTTTCTATCTTTCACTATGATACAAATTGACAGAATACTTCAAACAATGTAAGCTTATTCATAAACAATTTAAATAGATTAGAACCCCCATAGTTCAATAATCACCTTACAAATTAACAAAACATTTTTCTCTCTCGGTATAACAACAAGCTCGTTACTGTTCTTCAACTCAACTCATTTTACAAAAAAAAAAATAAAAAATAAAACTAATCACCATAAAAAAATGAGCGTAAAATGAAAAAGTATTATTGAGTAGTAAACTGATAATTTTTAAAAAAAGACTAGATTATTCTATAATGTTCTCTTTTCATATGTGTATTAAAAACAAAATCACTTATTGAACACTTAAATATAAAGATGATGATTGAATGTGAATAAGATGACAATGATTTCGTTTAAACAAGAAAAAAAAACAATATCATGTGACTTATTAAGTAAATTTTCTACTAAAATATCGTATTACATAACAGATAGTATCAACTATTTCATAATTCAGTTTATCAGATGATGGTTTTGGAGAATTAAAATAGTACACACCATTAACATTTCACTATTCACTGTAAAAGTTTGATTTTATCGTAAAATTAAGAACTTTCTATAGGTTTGTTGATTATGGCGTATTTGTTAAAACTCTCCAGTTTAAGGCCAAGATAAGAATTATTTCTTTTTGTACGTACAGTTCTGACTTTAATTCATGGATGGTAAGAGCTTTTGCTGTTTTAAGGAGTTGAGTACGAATAAATCTAGGTAGGTTTGTAAGAATTGTATGAACGACATTAAAATCAACCTGTGGATCAGTGCAGTGATTAAAGTCGATTAGATGTTTAAAAATAGACCTTCCAACTGCTTTCCTCACACCCTCGTAGAACCACACTGAGACGTGTTCTCGTATTCAAGTTAAAAGTAAGGGTTGGCTACTGCCTGTGTAACTTGCTCCACAAGAGCAGGTGAACTGGTAGATGTACATAAAGGCGGTCAGACGAGGAGGCTTATCCGTTACTGATACAGAAGACAAGTTTCTACCAGTGAACGGTAGTCGTGGCTTTGCTGCATAGAACGTTCATTTTATCGCTGCAGTTAACTGAATTTTAATTATACCAGAAGTTTGGTCACCTTTAAATTCCAGATTGTGAGAGTTTATCTTGTTTTCAGTCAGTCAGAAACCAGACAATACTAATGAAGTTATCCGGACTAAAGATCAATAAATTAGTAGATTTCTGTCGTACTATTGGTAAGCTGTTAGTCTTAGTACTTTTCTGACCCACATCAGTCTGCGTTGCATGTTTTGATAGAAAATGGGTTTATATGAACATCGTAAATAAGATTTATTTTATAATTACAATCAGATGACTTTTATCCTGATGCCAGGGTGTATATAGAATAGATTTTGGGAATTCTATTTTAGTTGCGTAGCATTTTTTCCTCATTAGTTGTATTTCACGGTTTTCTGTTGATCATATACTATCACTTAACATCGGAACATAGTACACATGGTGTCGAGTCACCTAGGTAAGTAGTCATATTGAAACTTGATCGATAGAAATCAATCAACACTAGAGAACCAGACAAGGATGACATTGGTCACTACTTATTGATCAATCCATTGTAAATATTTCAATACTGCAGATGGTCAGTCGGTACCCGAGTATTTCAATGGTAACTTATGAGCCTGTGAAGCTGGGTAACGTGGACTTGAATCCTAAAAAGAGCATCAGTTTCCTTAAAGTTTCAGGTAAATCCTACTGATGTGTGCCAACTAGCATGAAATCTAGACCTTAATAGAATTTCTTATTGGGTACTTTCAACTACCTAATATTTACAGATTGTGGTTAACAGTGGAATTCAAAGCACATGTTTCTTCGTACTAAGGATTCATTTTCTCACAAGTATACTCAATACCTTTATATCTATCACTTCAAATACCTACACATTCTTCACTAAGTTATTCATTTTAAATAAACATTATTTCATTGAACGAATATGATATTTATTATGTGTGAGAGTTTGTTATTACACTTGATGTTTTTTTTCTTTGATTGACACATTGTCACCAACCATCATCAAAATATTAATTAAAGTAAAATGTCTTTGAATAAGATATTCAAATATCTCTTCTTTTTTTCTTCTCATCTTCATTTTAACTCTTATTAACTCTTTGATTAATTATTATTAATGATTATAGTTTAAAAGTAAAAGAATGTAGTTCTCTATAAACGTTAAAATTCTTCTATTTTGATTGTCTATACTATTCAACTGAAACTTTATTAACTAACATACTTAAAAACTACTATGTATATACACAGATACATTAAGAGTAAGTAAAACATTTCTTCAATCTATCTGGTCTTTTGTTTTTGTTTTTGATCGAATATTTCTTTTAAATAAGTTGAATAGTTTGTTAAGAAGGAAGTTCTGAAAAAATGTTCAGTTAAAAATAACATGTCAGTTAAGAATGTGACATATTGAGTGTGAAAAAAAGAAAGGACTCTTTTTTTTCTTTGTTTAAACAGATCGACATTCTTAAAATAAACTGATAAACTGTTGCTTCAACTATCAAAAATAATGGCTTAGTGTAATTATATTAAATGTGATCGTTTTCTATAAAAACAAAAATCAACTACTGATAAGTCATTCAAATTAAGAGATCTATTTTCATGTACCTCTAAATAAGTATCAACATATGTTTTCATTTGTGTATCTAGTATAGTGAATTAATTGACAACTAGCTAAAATCGATAATTGTATCTATTTTTCTTCATACTACTTATAAGTAAAACGATTTTTAAAGGAAATTTAGTGCATAACCAAGTGAACAGTCAGATTATTACTACCATGAATTTAACAATTTAATATGCTCACTATATAGAATCATTAGATTATAGAGTTCACTGATGACGTTCACATTAATCAATAACGTAAACGACCATATAACTACTGGAAAATTCTAAGGTCTGTTTTTCTACGTGGGCTTTTCTTATTCCCCATACCTGATGAGAACACCAAGCCAAATTACCTTCGATTTTCATGACTCAAAAACCTAGTTACAAGATCAAAGCTCCACAATATATTGGAAATCACATATGGTAGCTCATATAACCAGGCTATTCGTGGTAAGAAAAAACTTTGAGTAAGAGGTACTAAGTTAACTAAATAAAATTTGTGAATGAAAAAAGATATATCAACAGTTGGTAAGTTAATTTTTCACACGAGGATGAAAGTACATCTGTGTTACATAGAACGAAACGTATACTAGTCACTATCCAACTCGAATTAAAACTTGTGACTAAATGCCAGTATCGGGACAATCTGCACTGAATGGACATATGCCAACAGACAAAAAGTTTCTCAAAGACTACTAACTTTAGAGAGTTCTTCAAACATATTTGGACTAAGGTTAACCATTCGCTATAATCCGTTTTTAAGGGGAAACAGTGTAAATAGCTTATGAAGTATTTATTCATCAGTATTATTGAAATGATAGTATTTTAACTTAACCGTATAGGTTTTTTGATTAAAACCAAATGAAATTGTTAAAGCGTGCTTTATGTATAGTTAAGAATCACTAACATTTATGTAACATTATTGTCTGTACTAGTTGTATGATGATTAACGCACAAGTTCAGCGATTATCAATCTACAATATTTAGGGAGATGAACAGCTTATGCACTGATAAACATATGATATTAGAAATTAGTATTTGGAGATATTAAGTGGCATACGTAACTCTTTTTGGTTGCGTTGTGTTCGCCAAGCTAGGTAGTTTAATTTCAGAGCTTTCATTACTATTCAGGACAACATCTGGAGCACTGTTTTCACATAGAAATGGTCTTCCCAGTTATTCTATACATGTCTTATCAGTTTGTTCCTATAGCCTCGTTTTTGGTCCTGTCTTCGTATGTCTTTTGCTTTGATTTTGACTGTCTTTGTCGAGTGACCTCTGGTCTTGCGACTGATTGACCTATTCCGTATGATTCATGGATTAAGTGTATGTTTGTGGATTACTAATCGATTGAATGTCATGCTTCTAGGAATTCTCTGTAATTCTTGGAGTTTCTCCACACACTTTTATTACATATTGTCCTGTTTTAAACGACAAGTTGATCGATATCTAAAGAAGCAATTCATCAATAAGTCCTGTATACTGTTTTCATTATCTCCTAGCGTCTCAAGTTTCAACCCAGATATGTGCTTCTAATGAAAAGGTTAAAATTGAATTTGGATCCAAAAATAATCCTAACTACTATTAGTTCGGAACGTATGCTCTTCTTTTAGTCCAGCCAGTAGTCCGGTAATAGAACACATGAAGCAGTAATGTATGTACCTTGTGTGATTCAACTCGTAAAGTAATATTGATCAGTTTCTTGAACTGACATTAACATAAATATAAAATTACAATATCGGCATGGCTACTCCAAAAGTGAAAGAGAATGGAATGGGAAGGTGACTGATTAGTTATCCATAATTAAAGAATACTAGAATATACAGCAACACTTAATGAGTTCATTGGAAGCTTATAATAAAGAGAATATAAAAACACAGTTATCTACTAATTACACAATAAACATAATAACTAGCCGTAGATTAGTTCCAAAAGTTACACTTTCTTCAACATTCGTTCTACCACAACATATCCCTTTGTTAATATTCTTCACAATATTGTGAGTAAATTTTATTCGGTTTATATTTCTGTTTCTGTATACTAATCATTCACTGAATACATGTTTCTTTCTTCAAAACTTTTCTAATTAAACGAAATAGATTCAATAGCGAATTAAAAATAACTCGTCCAATAAAAAGTGCCACAGGATACAATAATAACTCAACTACATCATTGGAAATATCCATTAATAATCTGCAAACTAAATCGATTGATTCAAAAACCTTAAATGATCATTATCAACAATTACATGATTTAAATTTAAGAAAAGTTACACAAGCTTATTCAATTGGATTAAAACCATTTCTACCATCATTAACAAAACCAGCAGATGTAATGTTGAATCGTCAAAATGATCGTCATCAAAAGAAATCTACAAAAAGCTTACAACGTAAGCGTGCACAACAAAATATTTATCCATTTTAAATGATGATGATAATAATAATAATAGTAACATTTGAAACAAGAATTCAATTTGAAAAAGAAAATCAACATTGAAATTTTGTTTAAATAAGTATAGATAAAAATAACATTCCATATATTTCTATTTTCAATATTTATTAAACTAATAAAAAGTGGTGACCCATACAGTGGGAGCTACTAATCAATCGCGTTCATTTGAATGAATTATGCTTGTTGAATATTGAAACAAAAAATGTTTTAGTTATGGAAGGCAGCAGACATATTATCAATGGAACAGTTCAGTACTCAATGATAAAATCATGCGACAAATTTAATTCTCAGATGGAATTCAAAGGTTAAATTATTAAAATATTGTAAGTAAACTTTTACTTAGTTTATTACATGAAGAAGAAAAGAAAAACAGTTTTATAAAGACAGAATGGTATTTTTATTGGTTCATATTATTGTTTTCAAGATTGTTTTATTCATTTCTTCTATCATCATTAACAATTAATTATAATAATTTGTTTTACTATACTTTTATGCTTGATTATTCATCTGTGAGAACACTGATAGATTATTGTCAAGATAATTGTGTTTGCTTGTTATTACTTAATTACTGACTTTTATCATTACTAATATTATGATTATCGAGGTATATCAGCATGAATACATGTGAATTTATACGTCATAGCGGTAGTTACACTATACAATAATAGTTAACTTTCTCCATCATGACAAATACCTATAAATTCACGCCTATGCAAACTATATATGTATATCGTCTATCCATTCAATATACTTATGTACATGACACAGCAATCGTTGTTCAGGTGGGTTGGTATTTATATCAATTGTTTATTACCTTCGACTTTTAATATTGTCAATGTCCAATACACGTTTATGCAGAATAGTGTTGAACAAGTTGATCTGTTTACATCTGACTTTTCAACAAAACGTATTGTCCTCTACATAATAAATTAATAATGATGATAATAAATGTTTATGAAACATGTTTTAAACTGGTATTTTCTTGTGTTTACTAATCTAGAATAGAATCAAAAATCTAAATGATAGACCTGAGATAATTTGAAATAGTTAATTTCAGTTTTTACTAGTTTGTAGTGTTGTTAAGTAGTCAATATTTATCATAACGAACGAATTCTTTGGAATCAAATATATCGACCCATTCACTCCATTATCTCACTAGTCCGGATTAGTATTTGATCTCCAAAGAGTTGTTGACAAGCGAAAATATAAGCATTTCTTATCAACCTAAAATTACTGTGGAAGAGCATTTGAACGGATGATTTACAGTGATTAGTTTGACGATAACATTAGATAACCTATGGGATTATTCAAACTACTCAGTAGCATAAATCACAAAATCAGAGACCTTGCTGGTTAACAGACTCACAATATAGTTAAACAACCATCCATCCGTTTTCAATTAATATGACTACAGCTTTCTGTGGGATTCCAAATACATTTTTAATCTGTCGAGCGAACTAAGTAAATACGGTTATGAAACAGAAAAGTTATCACCTACGTAAATATTCAAACATAGTAACAAATGGTCTACTGTTATTCACTGTTTTGGCAAAACAGTCAGATTCCAGTTGTCAATTACTTAGCTTGCAATTTGATAGAAATATAGTTATCTTCATTAGATTGCGTGTTTCCCGCGGATTTGGATTTAACCTGTTCATATTTGAATTTCATCAGCTACTTAAATGAATTTGAAACTCATATATAAGCTTTTTTCACACTACTCTCGAACTGTTCTGTTTTTCTACTTTAAGATGATATAATACGATTAAACTCATTTGTTAACTGTAGACGTATGTACTAAGCTCTAGTTCCCATATACTATATAAAGACTAAAGAGACCCTAGGCAGTTCTTTATATCGAACCTGTCTGGCGATGCCTAATGTATAAATTTGACTAAGAAATTAAACTGTCGGAGCCATATTTCTACCATAGCGTTTCGGGTAAGGTCACTTTTTAGTAGTTTTCCTAGTTCAAAAAAAAAACTTCAAGGTAGCTACCTATCTATTGACGCAAATAATTGCATCCAAGATTTTTTGAACAGTATTTCATATCAAAATACTTGAAGTATATCCGAACATTTTTCGTTGCTTCATTTCAACCATTATGTTTACTAGATTATTTAGTTCATTACCAGCATAAGCACGCAACTAGGCTTTAATCCCACTTCATCTCGTTCAAAGAACCTCGTGATATGACGTATGGATATATACAAACATCACTTACCTAATGTCTTGATAATAAGAATAAGTATACCTGGCACCAATCACTTTCTATAATGAACGTAAACAATACATGTTGAGGGAGTTAGTTTCCTTTAGAGAAACACAATAGAAACTATTCTTCAAGCTAAACTCAGTGTTCAGACGTATTTCACCTCAACTTGTGCTAGTATGGATTGCAAAATCATAATCGAAAACATTTAGACTGTCAGTTGACTGGATATAAAATCAGCAATGTTTTACAAAAATATGTCTCTGAATCTCACCATAAAGTATGATGAAAATTATGACGAGAATTATAATAGATATGGAAGTTGGGTCTCTGGTAATCAAGTTTTAATTTCGTTGGGTGGTGAACGACCTGGAAAAGTTGCATCCTACAGTCTTTTATGCTTTAAAGCTTATTAATTTTGATGTGAAGGGATTTTGTGGAGATTCACTTGACTGGTAGGTCGTATGTGTGATGAACTTATCACAGTTGGAGCCCCATCAGAAACGAAGTACCGAACAGCTTCGTACTAGTACAGGACTTTTCAATTCTGGGTTTGAACCCTAGTATGATCGTCAGTTGGTACTCTTGAATGGTCTTACATTACTGCAAAACAGTTGTCTATTGGTTTCTGGTTTTCAATCCTACTCTAATTGATGTCAAATGGTGATGAGTACCACCTAGACGTTCTTAGCAATGTCTGTTATCATGCTTAATTTATTAGTCCCGGACCTCACACAAATCGAATGGTGTGTGGCGAATACTTGATTCCTCCTTGTACCAATGTTTGTGTTTAATTTATTACATATAAGTATCGGGTCAGTTTTATTTTCTTAATGTGATCTGAATTAGCAATCTTTATTTAGTCGTATGTCACATCAATTCAGGAAAATCCACCACATACATCTGTAAATATGTTCCATTATGCATTAATTATAGTAACGAAATCATTTTTAAGGAATTGCAGTTTCTCTTGCAAAGAGAGAGAAGTTTAAAATAGGCTAAAATATATGGTGTACCTCCATCTATCTTAGATATCTCTTCAAGTAATATTTTATGAAACATTTTTATAAATAAAACTGATTGATTTGTGAAGTAGAGATGTGTTTTTTTATCTATCTGCATTTTATTTTGCAGTAAGACTATTCTCAGTGTAAATCAAAAGAGAATGAATACTACTTGTATTCTAATATAGTAGAATAGATGATGCAACATAAAAACGACTAACAGTATGATAGTGTATACAGATAGACAGACTGTAAGTTTATATCACAAAACAATACAAGTTTCCCTTTCGAATATAATTATCATTCATTAATAAACAATTACCCATCAGTGATTCCTAAGTTACTTAAGTCAAAGTTGTCATAGAAACACCAAGTCAGTTACACATGGTATCGGATTTACCCGTTACATTTCTGTTAAGACTAAGATGTAGTACTTCGAGATGATAGAGAAGACTTGCGACTCAAGAGGACGATTTGTACCAATGTTGTTCAGAAAAAGTGGAAGTTTCGAAAAACAACACTAACGAAATAGCATATTAGGATATTAAAAATATATTGGTAGTCCTTATCAAGTAGAATTTATTATTATTATTGTTGCTCTAGTATCCTCAAATATTGGTAGGTCACAAATTCAACTGCTGATTATCTTTTCTAGCTAAAACTTTAAGTCAGTCAACTCATGTATTATATGTGAATTATGCTTTCAAAACAAGCGAGTCTTACCACACTGCTTCCCAATACTCCCACCCAATAAATTATGAAAATCTAAGAAGCCTCATGCTTGCTTCATAAAAAGTATATGTATGCCGCAGATTACGGAGATGTTAACTGAGCTTTCGGTATCAATACCAAAAATTTCCCAACCAAAACCTCATACCCATACAGAACTTAACTACTTAAATCCCTACTGTCAAAGGCATTGCTGATGAAATCAATTTTGATGTGTCAGTTCACAATTATTAGACTATAGAAGTATTTCAAACGATCTCGGATTCTCTCGTGGTGCCAAATGATGACGATAAGAAATAAATGTGAATACCTGTCGATTATTTATTTAAATAACAGAAAAACAACCACATAAATTGTATCCAGTGTACAAGAATTCTATGTACAGTTATGCATTTGTATTTTCGCTAAATAAATATTTCACAAAAATGCGACTGTTTAGTTGGCAGAGTTTGAAAATATATTCTATTAACTGGAATTTACACCACACCTATTAAGTAACTCTAATGTGGTGTCTCATTCTCACTTTGGGACATATTATTTACAGTAATAGAGGTGAATGGAATGTCTGAAACATTCATGGCAGAGTAATCGGAAGAATTAGTGTTATTAATATAAAGGTCTGTACCTTCTAATTTATGACGTTCCATTATTCTTTCATCACAAATGTTTACAACAGGAGCAGAAATCTCCTGATCAATTGAGGTAATTCGTGCATTAGAATTGTCGTGTGGTGTGAAATCTGAAGGTATATCATCTGGATGATTATAAACTTGTGGTGACACTGAAGTTTTAGCTAGTTCAACGACAAGGGCTTCTTGTTTATCCTGTTCGGAGTTATTATTGCTGCTGTTGTTTGTCTCAGTGAAAATATTAGTTACCTGGGAAATTTCAGACGATGGAATACAATGTACAGCACTTGGAGCAATAGATGAAGTGGATATTTCAGTCACAACCGCAGGGGAAGAAGGCTCTTTGCGCGTTTTGAAAAAGTCATTTAATATTTTATCCATACTAGCTACACGCGGTTGACGAGGCGGATGTCTGGAAGTGCCTGCTAGACGTCTAAGTGGCAAGTTTGCATTTTGAGCAGCAGCACCAAGTGGAACTGAAGGAATAGATGGTTGATTTGGAGACTCATCAAAGTCGAACTCCTTTAGCTTTACAATACTAGTTAAGGATTCTGAAACCTTCGGGGCAGGATTATCATTTGTTTCGGTACGAATTTTGGTTGCTATAAATTTTTTTGAGAAAATGAAGAAAAAGGAATGTTGAATGTCTACAGCTAATCACAAGAGTATTGATGAGAGCAAATTAGAACAAAGACGATTTGAAAGTACAAACTGATGATAATTGTAGTTAATAAAATACACCAAATTCCTTATCAGTTCGCATCATGAGGTTTTTCCGA